AAATGAATGAATACGAGCGTCAGAAACGGTCGTCCGTTTGTGGGCGGGCGGGCAAGGAAGGCGTTTGGGACGTAAAGTTGTTGCTCAATAGGGCGTTATAGAGGTACCCTCCTTGGAAAAGGCTTCACGCAGCGCCTGTCCGAGGTCACGGAATTCTGTTAAGCCAGTTGTACAAATCCTACACCTGTATAGCGATTTATCGTGCCAACTGCCTTTAAAGACATCCGACGGGCTCGTCCAAGGCGCCGATCCCCAATGCTGGGGTCTGTATTCAGGGCGTTCCCATTTTCTTCGTTTCTTTCTCCGCTGGAGAATTACTTTCGGGCTCTGGTTAATGACTGAGCACCTACCCGTAACACTTGATCGTGGAGTTGTTTAATTCGAACTGTCCTAAACAGCTAGTGTGGTAAGTCATATCAATCGTTTCAACCCATGCCCCGCTCCACGCCCTATATGTAACCGATAGGGGGTTCGACAGGGACAAGGCTTGAAGCGCAGCCAGGGCAGATTTCCATTCAATTGTAGCGGGCTCAGGGCAACACTGTTGGAACAAGGCTGCGCTCCGGTACGTGCCGCGTCACCGGTGCAGTAGTGGGCGCGGAACGTGACTGTACTCTTCGGCAAATTTCTCTTGTAGGGAGGGTATCTAGCGCAGGTGAAAGGGGGAAAATTGGGAAAAGTCAGCAACCAGAAAAATGTTATCTCAGCAATGGAAGTTTTTTTATCAAACTCAGACACGACGCCTATCGACTAAATACGACCCCCCCCCCACTCCATCCTCCCCATCGCACGGACGTGATTCCAACTCTCTCTTGGGGTTTTGGCATAAGATCCAGTCTTCCGGGTCCTCGTGTTCAATCCACAGAGATATACTGTGGTTTTTACTGCAGATGCTGTGGCGTGCCTGGTGGCATAACGGATAGCCCGGAAAGCGTGAGGTGCGGGTTCGACTCCCGCCTGGGGTCACGACTTTTGCCCATAACTCAGCATTCTTGTGATAACTTTCGGAACGCGAACTGCGGCGTAAACAGCAGTTATCATAATGGAACAAATACTTTGAGCTTTCTTTCAGGGTCAAAATGCGAGGATTTGTACTCTGCTTCTTAGCCATCGGAGTGACGTCAGCAGCCTCCTCCACGAGTGGTCCCGTTACCATGGACCAATTGAACAAAGTCATCGAAAAACTACAAGCGAATCCCCGTGAGTATGCACTTGAAATAATTGACTAACTAAAGTTTTGTTTGTGACCCATAGGTGCAGTCTACACTGATCGCGTGGGCTGGCTTGTCAAGTTGTTCTGTCCTTGTTGAATCTCTCTCTAAAATATTAACGGGGCGTGGCTAGCCAAAATAACGCTGTTTTTAATATGTAAGAAATGGGGTCTAATGGGTACCGACTGGGGCCCATGCTTATGCAGCCTACCTGTAGGCTTCTGTTCTCTAAACTCGGACTTTGATCGACATACACACCGACAG